GAAATTAAAATACTGGCCGGCGGGCAGCCCTGTCGCGTGGGTACGTGCCGCTCGGCTGTAGGTAATTATTTCAAGGACAGGCCCGAGTTGGAATACTGTATGCATACATTCCCGTACATACATTACCGTGGTAATATGCAGTCGGAGACATACCTAAAAAAAGATCGGACATACATACATACTTCACCGCAGTCAATACAGTTATCGAGTTCCTAGATACGTTTTAAATAGATATAAATAGTTATTAACCAGTTTTGGCCATGTAAGTAATATTATTTTTTTTCGTGAATTTTTCCAATGTTCGGGGCGGAGACGAATCCAACAAATCAAAGATCATAAAAATCGGTCCAGCCATTCTCGAGTTATAAATGGTGTTACTAACCCGACTTTGTTTTATATATACAGATGTTATTACCATATACTTAATTATATGTTATATTAATTTCTTATTAATCATACGTCCGATATTTTCCAAAAATATTTTGGCTCTACGGAAGTTTAATGATTGATATAATAAAATTATAATTGCAAGTTATCGATAGTGACATTGGATTTGTCTTATCCCGGAGCGGTCTAGATAGACGGCAATCTGGTGACACTAATGTGAATACATATTAGTCTTAATGTTGGCATAAATTATTATCTAATTAATAATCTTGTGACACGGTGTTTGTGGTCGCACTCCTACAAAATGGCTCCACCGATTTTAATGATTTTTTTTGTATATTTATTAGGTATGAGAATAGGTCGTAGAAGTATTTTTCACCCATCTACCTCAACCCCCAATCGTAATTGCGGTTTTAGTATCTTTGTATGAACAATATTATATAAATAAATAGCTACGAACCCGCGAAGCTAGGGTGAGTCGCTGTATAACATAAAGCCATAAGTATTAATATGTATTTGTAGCAAGTTGCTAGTTTGATCAACATACAAACAACCAATTTACAATATTTGTATGTATTTATATTGATGATATTAGATCAAGGTCAGTACGTAACCTACAATATTTCACTAAGCGGTTTATTAATTAAGAATGCATGCATAAAGGACTGTGTTTCGAATTCGCATTTCAGTTATCAATTTTTTGTATCAAACTTGTTACCCAGAAAATATAATGCCAGCGAGATTTTCCCACTACACATAAGTACGCCTTCCTGCCTTGATTTTGCTTACTGTTTCAAAGGTGTCGGAACTTCTTTCGATGTGGTTGTGTCTTTATTTGTAGTTCATTTTATTGTTGTATACTTTTTCTTGAAGTCAATATAAATTATTTAATTATAAATAAAGACAGCAAAATATTATTGTGAAGAAATCAACGATTATAACCTTTCCTTATTTGAAATTTCTTGGATTTAAACTTTTTAAGGTAATTATTAATATTTATTAATATTTAACTGTTTTTGAAACTCAATTGGAGTTAAATTTTCTTGTGACTATGGTTTTACGTAGTTTAAGTGATAAGAAAGATATTGTATCTTGACTCTTGAGTATTTTTTAATTTTTTAATGTATTTTTAATTTCTATTTTTAGGGTTCCAAATCCTGTATCAAGATTTCGGTGCCCTATTACTAAGTTAGCCATATCTTAATTAACTTCTAGTAAATCCCTAGAATTTGGGCATATTGGGCACGTATTTTGTTCATTCTAATAAGCTACGTTTTAGTAAATAAGATCTAGGTATATAATATGACTTACATTTTAGATATCGTAAATAACGTAGGGCATATTAAATTATATAAAAAAGAGGTTGTCTTGTTTTCTATCTAATCTCTCTAAATAAAGAATTTTAAGAGGCGGTTACAAAAATATATACAACATATCTTTCAACATAATTTGGGATAAGAAATTGCTAATTGTTATATATTAATAAAATCTGAAACGTCTAACTGGCCTAAAAAAAAAAAAAAACTCTAAATAAAAAATGATCGTTTCCACCTTTTTACTTCATTTACGCAGTCAAGTTTTAATATTTTTGTAATTTTTTTATCAATTTAATTAAAACTATATTTGAAAAAAAAAAGACAAAGACACAATCATATAAGAATAATTGAACTTAACATGTATAAGAAAATAAACAGATATGCATACTTATGCGTGTCTTTTTATAATGATAAAAAAAAACAAAAAAAAAAACGACTGCGTATAAAGCGAACTGAAAAGATGACAAGCTGACGATGAAACATAGTATTTGCAGTCGAAGACATACCTACCTACATATTACCTACATGTTTTATACTAGCTGCGAGTCTTGCTATGTGTGTACAATTATGTCTCCGACTGCTATTACGAGCATGTATTTTACGCGTTCTATGTTACGAATTCTCACTTCGAACCGCGAGGCCGTAAGCAATGGCCCACGTCGCCATTATACCGCTTCTTGTGGGAAACGCTAGCCAAAAAAAATAATTAAAATAACTGGTTTAAATAAAATCGTGCCAATTATACGCTAATTATACATAGTAAATTACAAAATAAGTCAACCAATAATTAAATTACTTTTGAGAAAAGAATATAATTATTTATAATAAGTTGTTATTATGTGTTATTTAGAAAATCATCCATAGATGTCACTACGTGCTTACAAAATACGAGCCCTCTTATTTATTTCACCTTCGCTTCGCTCGGGTTCGACCTTACTTACGTTTTAACGTTTAGTATCGATTTCTCAGAGATGAGATATTTTCCCGCTGTAAAAAGTATCCTTTATGTTGACTCGGTTAACCAGCTATCATCATACCAAATTTCATCAAAATCCCTCCAGTGGGTTTTCCGTGATGCGGTAACAGACAGACAAAAATTCAAAAACTATAGATTCGGCCTCTGTAATGATAATAATGTCTATTTCAATGAGATTTTCCAAAAAATATTTAATTTACAGATGCGGCTTAGTTACAATATTATTATATGTATAGATTCTCAAAATTATAAATCATATTTTTTGTACCACTAATGGTATATAATTGTATTACTTTACTTTTATTACTTTATTTGTTGGACAATAGTAATGTCGTGTGTCTTATTTTATTTCTTGAAGAAAACAACAACAATTAGTTAACAGTGTCATGATTTTAAAGAAATATAAGTCTCTCTTATAAATCCCTCATCTTTTTTGGAAAGAACTCATTATTTTCTATAATATTGGACATATTTTTGGTTGTTCTGCTTATTATTTTCAAAATACAAGCAAAAAAGTGACCTCGACACTTTTGTTACGAAAGTTGCCTAATTTACAGAAAAACACCCACATATGAAAATACATTTTTTCCTTTAAAGAAAGTAAACGATCTGTATGGCATAACAAGAATAATAGCTTAAACAGCAAATCACGCAATTTTTGACTTTGCCATTTATTTTGGCGAACTCCGTCTGTATAATTCTTTAGTCTTAGGGCCATTATTTATAGAGTGCCTGCCCCATTGAGAAAGCTACGAATATACTTCAAATGTTGCTTTTATTTAGCTAGAACAATTACAATGGCGTCCTATATATTATTTATACTAGTGACTCACACTCGCTTTAGAGAGGTTTGTCCCTAGGGACGTCTTGACGGTTAGTATGGAATAGATAGACTATAATAATATTATATGATATATAGCATATATCCTTCCTCAATAAACGGGGTATCTAATGCAAAAAGAATGTTTTAAATCGGATTAGTAGTTTTTGATATTAGCGCGTTCAAACTAACAAACCCTGTCTCTTTATAATATTAAGTATAGTTTTAAATAGATTTAAATTATTTCTCATCTATATCTCACTCGAATCCATTTAATATCTGGATAAGAAGTAGCTTCTCGTTTGATTCTCCTATATCCAGTCTTTCTAAAATCGATTTAGTCATTTCAATGATATAAAAAGCAAAATTAAAAATTTTGAAAAAACCCACGACGGTTAAAAAGTAATTGAAAAAGGATAAAATAATTTAAAAAGGATAAAATAATTTAAAAACCCTCGACTTAAAAAATAAATGTACCTCGAGATAAACCCAAGCATATCTGTCGGGGGCTGCCATTATGAACTAGTTTTGCAGTTTTATAGTAACCTGAATAATTTGAGATATTTTAGCGCTATACTTATGTACCCTTAATGGGTAGGCCCTGCCCCTACAGTGGGGACCTTTAGAATTTCATTATGATACTTATTTTTATTTACGATGAAATTTAAAATAGTGATGGCAGCCCCTGACGGATATGCTTGAGTTTGCTTGAGTCAATTTAAAAAATCACATAAGGACGAACCCGAGCGAAGCGAGTCTTTAAATAATAAAACTAAAAAATAATATTTTCTTAGGCTCATTGTATAGTATTTATTGAAAAATATATATATTTTTTTCCTATTTAATTATTAATGCGCTCGTTTCCTTGCGTTATATAAGTAATTATTGGTAATATTAATTATACTTGCATAACTCTTTCCTTCAAGGAATATACTTAGATAACTTGTTTTTCATTTTTTGTTTTTCATTGAAGTATTATAGAAAGTGAAATTTTATAAGAAAATATTAAGCAGCATGTTCGAAAAGTTCATTACAATCGCGTGCACAAAAAGTTATCGAAGGTCACAAAATCTATTTTCTTTCAAATATCTCATTATTAATTAAGGTTGTAATTTTGCTCTTCAGCTTATTAAGATTTTATTTATATCTATACATAATATAATAGAATTTTAACTGATCGCTGTCTGTATATGGAAGATATTTGAGAAATACTATTATTGGGGTCTTTATTATCGCAGTAGAAACCAAAACAATGATTTTTAGAATTTTTGTCTGTTTGTCACACGCTAATCTCAAAAAAGCTTAACCAATTTGGGTGCGGTATTCACTAATACATATATTGTGATAAGCTTCATTTAACATTTAGTATTTGTATTATTTCGATCGGTTCAAAAATAAAAAAGTTATGTCGAGTGTGAGCGAGGCGAGCATGAATCGTTAGTTATAAATATTTTTGTTTCATTTGATGATTGATGAAGAAATATTATTGATTTTAGATACAATGTCGGGTGTGGTGAAGCCTTTTCCAGTGGAGCAGGAATATGTGAAAAACCCTGATATATCACGCGATGATATCAGGAAGATGCGAGAATGGTTGAACACTCAGCCTCATTTGCCAGGAGAACACATAACAGGTCTGAAATCTTATATTAAAAAATGACTATAGTAGTAAGCATTACATTACATTTTTTATGGTAATGCCGATTTGGGCGAAAAATGCCCCAGCTCTCCGGTAACCATTAAAGGCGATAAGACGAGGTGTTATGTCTACACTCTTATCTAACAATTTAATTTATTTTCCTTGATTTAATTTTAATTTGCTAAAAAACAACAACAATTTTTATTAAGTGCTTTTTTATAATACGTCGAATATTGTTGCTTCGATGAATACAATTAGTAGCTGGTAGAGAGCGCCCATTGCGTCAATATTCTTGGTAAAGTAGGAATTGAGTAAAGATCAGCACATTGTTTTATTTTATCCTTAAACATAAAGGAAAAGTACGATAGTAATCACAGTTATAAATAAGTATGTATTTCTATTATTGATTCTCTTTTGGGTCAATGATGTCGATCACGACATCGAAAAAAAGTTACTAAGCTTGGGTGTATGTTTTTTGTCTGTATGTTGTTTTTGCCAATTTCGAATCGATTGTCATTTTGCTTTTATTATTATTTCATCTTCATTTTCACCCCCTCTTGGCAAGATTCCGGGATAAAAAGTATTCTAAGTCTTTTCCAGGGTCTCAAACTATCTCCCCCCCAACGTGCGTTCACCTTGTCGTGGTGGGGGGGCTCAGTAGTGTACTCACGAAGCCAAGAAACGCACAGGGAGGTGGCCCGCTTCGATGGGCGGTGGGAGGCGGCCTTCTTCGGAGGGTGGTATACCATGCGGGTTGCTCCTGGTACTTCTCTGATAGCAGAGTGGACCGTGGAGCAACCCCATGGTTGTTGTGGTCTGCTTCGGCAGACCTGCCGTCGGGGCGTCGTAGTTGAATGCGTAAGCGATCCTGCGACGCCACATTAAGACGGGGGAAGGTTTTGTTGGGTTTTAGTGGGTAGTACTGGCTTCGCCGGTGAGTCCCACACTTCGTGCGTAAATGCATTTCCCAACGTTAAAAAAAAAAAAAAAAGGGTCTCAAACTATCTTCTTACCAAATTTCATCTAAATCGCTTCAGTAGATCCAGACATTACCCCATACAACGTCACAAACTCACAAACTCACAAACTTTACCTCTTTATAATATTAGCAAAGTGTAAAGATTTGGCCTCCTAGTACCCCAAGAGCCTGTCTTAAGAGTAATCCAGACTAGTAGAAAGTTTAATAAGTAAATTTTACCCCTAGGTGGGTGGGTGGGTCATACACAAAATGCTACAAGAAAAAAAATAGCCCTAGTTCTTCAGAATCAGTTTCATTTAATATTTTTACATCAAAACAATACGCGAGGCAGATCGTTATTCAGTTTTAGGAAAGATATATTTAAATACTACTTTTGTTTACCACAGAAAAGCTACAATGCCATAGAAATGTATTAAGACTAATTCTACATTTGTGTGGAAGAATTACTTTAATTATAATTTTAAAGTGAGTCTTTTTAGTTAAAAATTAGCTATTTCATAACTCATGAAACAACGTTAATTAAGTAGCCCTAAAGAAGTGGCATAAGAATCTTAAAGAGAAATCGAATCTCCACCTTTCTCCATAGTGTAGGGTCATGTACAATTAAATATTCTATCACCTTATGGAATACTCTATTCTCATAACTACGTTATTTTTAAAGGCATATATATAAAATATCGCAATAATATAAATAAATACTAAAATTATGAGGACGCTAATTACGGTCTTACCTAGACCTTTATTAATAGTACCACTTCTTTTAAACACTACAAATAATAAAATGTATTATTATGTCGTAAATGAGTTTATTGGAGATTTATTGCTCGAACTTTGATGTTTGATCGTGATTTGACTGGACAAGTGTCCAAGACGTCTCATTGTCGATATTCGACTATATAAATCTGTTTTGATATCATAGTATCCACTTTGGTATACTTAGTCTGCTGGTGAAACATTACTAGTATAAATTAAAGTTGAGCTTGTGTTTGTTTTGGTTGATATTAGACCCCTCCCCTCCACCACCCTTCCCCTCCCCAATATGTATCCGTGAAGCTAAGGGACACACTGGGAGGTGACCCACTTCGGTGGGCGGTGTACCATGCGGATTACTCCTGGTACTTCTCTGACAGCAGGGTGGACCGTGGAAGCAACCCCTTGGTTGTGTGGTTTACTGCGACAGGCCTGCTATCGGGACGTCGTGGTTGAGTGCGTAAGCGATCTTGCGATGTCCCATTAAGACAGGGGAGGCACTGTTGGGTTTTAGTAGGTAGTATATACATTTCCCAATATTAAAAAAAGTTTATATTAGAGACTACTGGACGGGTTTTCATACGATTTACACCAATAGTAAGATTTCTCAGAAAAAGCCAGTATCATGTGTCGAAACTTGTATATTTAAAATAGATTTAGTTACAATTTATTATAAAACATTCTCAATAATTACTTATTATTTCAATAATAATGACTGTTTTATTACACACTAGCATTGCCCGCGACTCCGCCCGTGTTAAGATGACCAAAAATCAAATTCTTAGGTTTTACATATTAGTATACTCTTACATTGCAGTTTTTGTATTTTTTCTCAGAAATGAGATATTTTCCCCCGGTAAAGAGTATCCTATATGTTGACCCAGATAACCAGCTATCATCATACTAAATTTCATCGAAATCCCTTCAGTGGTTTTTCTGTGATGCGGTAACAGACAGACATACAAAAATTTTAAAAATTATAGATTCGGCCTCTGTATCGATAATAATGTTTATTTCAATAAGATTTTCCAAAAAATATTTAATGTACAGATTCGGCTTAGTTATAATTTTATTATATGTATAGATTAAAATAGCGAAACCTTAGATAATAGACAGAGGGATTATCTAGGAAGGCGATAGAAGGCGAAAAAAACGACGAGTAAATATGAAAGATACCTTAACGCACATCGATAGTACCTACGAACATACATACTCTTGCATACACGCGTCCAAAGAGAAGTGATACCTGACCTCTTTAACTCCTTTACGTAGATATAATATGTGTTCTCATTCTATAAACATAATAAGATGTTTATCAAAGAAGATCTTTCATAGATGATGATGTTTCTCCTAGCCGATTCCGGCTACGGCGGCCAATCTCATTGAGATTAGCCAACTGCGCAGGAGATATTATAGTGCACAAGTGTACGCGCAGACACAAGTGCACTCTCTATTCCTGTCACTCTCATACTCTGGTGGGACGACCACTCGACACGACCAGTGAGAGTTAAGGCGCAGGACCGACGGCTTTACGTGCTCTCCGAGGCACGGGGGTGAAACACCGCCGACTTCCCAACTCCGGGGTGTTACTAAGACTTACTATACAGAAAGACTCAATAACTAAACTTGGCCCGACCCGGGACTCGAACCCAGGACCTCCGAGTGTGCAGCCGTACATGCTAGCCACTACACCACCGAGGCAGTTAAAGCTTTCATAGATAAAATCACAAACACGTAATTTGTAAGTCACGAAGATACTAAGAGAAACTTTTTATTTTTTATGATTTTCTCATTTAACCGACATTTATGGGAGTTTATGTCATAGAGTCAAGGTGGAAGTCGTTCAACGACATTGTTAAATAGCAACATAGTTATATTGAAGAAAATATGACATTACTATAATTTTATATACCTTATTATTGTTTATTATTAATACCTAATTTATCTGATTGACGACACGTTTGGCTCAGTTTGTAGTGACCCTATTTGCTGTGCCAGCGATCGCGGGTTCAAGTCTCGCTGGTGGCATTCATTTGTATGATGAGTACGTATATTTGTATTCCAGTAATGGATCTTTATATTTATAATATGTATGTATTTAATTAACGTTATACATATATGTGTAGTGTATTCTCTACCTGGTATCCATAACGCAAGCCTCTTAGCTTACCGTGGAACCGTGCTGTGTGAGTTAATGTCCCAACATATTTATTTATCTTATTACTTTGTAACTTAAAAGGTAAATTTCCTTCTCCGGTTCTCCCTCAAGTATTTGATATAGAAGGTCAACCAGGTCCTTAGCCGCAATCTGGTCAATCAAAAAGACTTAGGACAGAGTAATTATACCACGTAAAAAAAACAAAAACTAATCATTCCCGCGGGAACCGTACTTTTTTTTCGAAAAAAAAGTAACCTTTGTGTTATTACAGTGTGGTATTTGTATCTATCTCTGGGCCAAATTTCATTCAGATACGTTCAGTCGTTCTGGCATGATTGAGTAACAAACATGAATCCAAACTCTCGCATTTATAATATTAATCGGATTTATTGTATAAACTACTAGCGACTCACTTTGGGTCCGGCAAGTGATAATATGTTTCCTTATTGAAAAATCGTTTTATCTATACTGTATACAAATAAAAATGAATGTTTCTTTGTACTCTAGGCATTCCTAAGCCGTTTACTCGATTGTGAAAAAAGTTTGGTATGTCCTTGGTCTTATTTAAAATCAAAAATGGGCTTCCTGTCTATCTTAATAAAAATTTAATGATGTTCGTTGGTAAGCAAATCGCTTGAAAACAGCTAGATTGATTAGACTTTTTTTAATGCCGTATAAGCAAAAGAAGTTTTTAGAGTCAATTTAGAAAAGTTGGTTAGAAATTTGGAAATTTCGGCAAAAACCGAAATATTTTTCTATAGGTTTCTTATACGATCTCAAAGCTCTGACACAATCTGAAAACTACCATCTAGTTTAAAATAAAAAATAATCGTTAAAATCCTTGGTTGAAAAGTTATTTTAATTAAAGATTTTTAAGAATCAAATCAGTTTCAGAAACTACATCGAAACTAACCAAGTTATGTTCATCAAAATGTAATTAGTTAGTATGGACAATAATTTATTAATATTGCCTAAAGTAATATTTTAAAATAAAATGTTGGGCTATTCACATTTAATTCTCTGTTTGTCCTTGAAAATTGTTCTTATACAATGTAATTTATGTAGAAGAAAAATGTCAAGGAATTTAAGTTTCCAGTATTTCAATGCT